TGAAACGCACCACTTGTTTTTTTTCCCCTCCTTCACTTCGCGCTCATTTGAATTTTTATTTTCGCACTAAACAACCCCTCCCTCTCCTTATTCTGCTTTTCTTTTTCGGACCCGATCTTGCCGTCTCTCAACTCAGCAGCTGCAGCCTGGGCATCATGTCATTCGACCCCACCACCGTGACACCTGCGAATGCCTCTGCCAACGGGACGGCCGGCGGGGCCGTGGGTGGGAAGCCTCCCACCATCCCCACCGTCATGTTCATCTTCGGCGTGGTGGGCAACCTCATAGCCATCGTGGTGCTATGCAAGTCCCGGAAAGAGCAGAAGGAGACCACTTTCTACACGCTGGTCTGTGGGCTGGCAGTCACCGATCTCTTGGGGACCTGCCTGGTGAGTCCAGTCACTATTGCCACTTACGTGCAGAACCAGTGGCCGGGAGGACATGCACTGTGTGAGTACAGCTCCTTCATCCTCCTCTTCTTTGGACTCTCTGGCCTCAGCATTATCTGTGCCATGTCTATAGAGAGGTACCTGGCCATCAACCATGCCTATTTCTACAACCATTATGTAGACAAGAAGCTGGCAGGGCTCACGCTGTTTGCCATTTACGCTTCCAACGTGCTGTTCTGCGCTCTCCCCAGCATGGGGCTCAGCAAATCTACCTTGCAATACCCTTGCACTTGGTGTTTCATAGACTGGCGAGCAGAGAAGCCCAGCCATGCAGCATATTCCTACATGTATGCAGGCTTCAGCTCCTTCCTGATCATGGTGACTGTGATCTGCAACATCCTGGTGTGTGTAGCCCTCATTCGCATGCACCGGCAGTTCATGCGACGCATGTCCTTGGGGACAGACACCACCTCCAGCCGTTTATCTGACTTTCGCAGACGCCGGAGCTTCCGTCGGATGGCCGGAGCAGAGATCCAGATGGTTATTCTGCTCATTGCCACTTCCCTGGTGGTGGTCATCTGCTCCATTCCTCTGGTGGTGAGTAAAATCATGCAACTTTTCTTCTATTCCGTCGCTCACACTGTGGAGTTTTTTTTCTTTCCCTTAGGCTGTCCTTGTAGGACAGATTCCTATTTAGCGGGTGCTGTAAACTGTTATAATAGCTCACAGGCCGTTAGCATACATGTGTGGTAAGAGAAAGTGGAGTAGATCTATATTTGCACAAAAAGCAACATGTTTATCCCAAGTCCTGGACTCGTTGATTGGTTAAAATACAGTGCCTAAAATTTATAACTGTTCCACTGTTCAACTAGAATCCACATAGTAAAATCCTACTGAGACCTAAAGGCACTTTAAAGTTCACTTGCAACATTCATTTGCGGTGAGTGAGGTTTTGGTCTGGCCTGCCTTTCTGGATGTTTAGCGTGTTTTAAAAATATGCATGCTGTTGCTGAAAGATACAGTGGACCTTAATGTGTCGGAGGACAGCGCAGTCCACTGGAGAGTGCTTCATACCCAAAACCTGAGCTAAGCTTCCTCTCCTGAGGCAGTCATGCACCATCTCTGGGGTAGATGCCACATAGACATCCCTCCAGTATCTTCCCACAGTGGGAGGAGTAAACTTGGTGGAACCACCTGTCAGTGGAATGCTCAGTTAAATGATTGTTGGAGGAATCTGGCCCACATAAACCCTGAGATCATACTGAAATGTCAAACAACATTACCACTAACCATTTGTTAATTTTCTGAAAGGGCTGATACAATTAGTGTCATTAAATTGAACACATTTTACGTCACATTATCTCCAAGAAAGACCAAAAAAAAAGGCAAACCCACCAGCTGGAGGCTCATTTCTTGTTTGCCACCCAGTATAATAAAGTTTGGCAAACTCCTGTCCTCCTCTGGCTCAGAGACTTTAAACAAATATCTGCCTTGCCTTATTTGCCACCTTCCGAAACACAGCAGAGACAGGCAGTTTGTCAGACAGAATGTGTTTCTAGAAGGATTGTTTTAAAGAGTTTTATTGTCAGTAGGGTGATTCCATCGTTGTAGAGGGGGTACAATGGATGTCAAATACAGCTGGCCAGTTGGGGATGCAAAACAAATAGTGTATACCACCATAAGGAAGTTTAGAGAAGTGCATGTGAATAGGACTCAGCTATCAGCTAGTCCATCCCCTGGCTAAAGGAGCTGTAATCACAAGGGTTGGGCCAGTTTTGCCACATTACTAACATTAACAGGAGCTGGTGAAGTATGTCTGTGTTGGAGCACCAGTGCCCCAGCTGTCACCAAAGCCCATTACTCCCATCCTTCAGCATTGTCACTTTGCGTCGTGCTGAGGCATGACCAAGCACGGTCCGTGTGTTCATTGCTTGACATCTCAAGGAGGTTGAGGGGTGCTGTCCGAGCTGCACAGAGGGTGTCCCCAGGAGAAGCACCTGCATTAGACAGAAGAACAGTGCACAGCCTGCCCTGCAGTCCAGCTCCAGAAACTGCAGGAGTAAGCCAACTTGCTGCACCAGGATGCATCAGGGCATGGAGTGGTCAGAACCCTAACAGTACTGACTGTTGACAGTACTTTTTTTGATTAATCTAGTGTCAAAACAGCTACTTCACAAAACAACAATATTGCATTTTCAGAAGAGATGCTTGTAAATGCAGAGAATTAGTTCTGTGAATTAAATACACTGTTGTAATGTAATGGACTTCAGGAGTTTCAGAAAAAAGCCAAACATTATCCTGTGTTGAAGCAGCTAGAGGAAGACTGAGAAGTCTGAATGTGAAATGCAAAACGAAATTGTTTATATTCTTTTGGACCTAAACAGTCTTTTACATAATATTTAAAAAAAAAAACAGGGAAAAATCAAGAGGGTTACCAGAAAGAGAACTGGATTGTTGACAGTTAAAATTAATGAACCTGGGTGGGGCAAAAGGTTTATTATTTAAACAGTAGCTGGTGAAAAACTTGAATATAGCAGAAGTATGTGAAGGTGCAGGTGATAAACTTGTGTAGCTCTCCCAGACCTTGATTTCACTTCTTACAAAGGCACGGTGTTACCTTGGGAGTGCTCACGTAAGTCAGCTTTTCCTTGCTAAAGCTGCACATACTTTCTGTATCTGAAAAGAGGTAAGAGGCTCTCATTTCACTTAGATGTATGACTAAGGAAAAAAAAGGAACCTTTCTCTAAATAAAATCCCAACTAACCACATAGATATACATTGTCACAGTGTTCTTCATTGTTAAGTAGCTTTTTTAAGTCATTTGCCTCCCTCTGCAGGAATAAGCCACAGCCACATATGCTGCTCTGTGCCATGACATGCTGCCATGTATGTTGCTGTGTCAAGCCCTCTGGTTGCATGCACACTGAGGTTTAGAATGGGGAAGTGCAGAGAAGTGACACTTTTATGCTACACATGCTTAGATACAGCCACTAGAATAAATAGGTAAGTCACTAACGTAGAGACTTATTAGTGACTCAGAGGTATTTTAGGGAACCCTCACCGTGTGAGAGGCTCGTCTGTAACAGGTCAGCCTGGCAGTCATCAAGAACATACACGTGGTGAGGTTGGGGGTGGCAGCATGATTCAGGCACACAAACCAGGCCAAGTGCTTGTGACTGAAGTTTTCTGGTGAGCTGACTTCCTACTGATGATTTCAGCTGAATAAACCATCACTTAAGTCAAAGCAAAGCAGCTTTTGAAAGAGAAACACAAACCTCTAACATTTCGGGATGAACACTTTCTCAAGATAATAAGATATCATGTGGGGCAATTCATCAGGCTACACATATTATGATTTGACAGAAAAAAATTCAAGTCTTGAAATATTAAATAGCCCTGAAATAACTGAGTCACTGAGAACAGCAGTCTTTAATAATGAGATGCTTCAGCACCTAGTTTACAAGCAGGGTTGTTTAGTGTTTTAATGATTTATTCATAAAATCAGCAAAATTTTACAATGACAACTGCTGTAACAGAATTATGGGGTATTATGCAAAACACTGAATGAACTTTACAGACCTAATGGCTGATCAAACTTATCAAGGAAAGAAAAAGCGAAGGAAAAAATTTATGAAACAGAACTTTTGATATAACCTGGTATCTACTCAACATGCAGAAAGTGGTGTGAAAGACATAAATCTGTCAATTGTTTGAAAATTAAATAAGAAGAATACATAAATTATGTGCTGACTTGTGTCTGCACCCCACTGGTTATGCCATCTTTTAAAATATTGTAAATTTTTAGAAATTAGAATAGTGCAAAATATAGGGAATAAATCATATTAGGAGGGATTTTGCCAAAACAAGTGCAGAAATTACTATCCATCCTTTAAGAAAACACCAAACTCTTTTGAGAGTAAATAGGCAGACACTACTCCAAGTCTGTAATTCACTCCAGCAGTCTGTCAAATACTCTTAAAATTTATAAGTGTGTGATCTTTTTGTTATCCTCACCACCGAACATTGTTGTTAAATTGTGGTGAAATGAAAAATAAAATACAATGTTTCAGGCTGTACATCTTGTGATTGAATGAATTAATCAGGAGTTTCTAACTTGATGTTTAATTGATCCAAGAGTGGATTTCCTTTTGGCTTGGCTGCTTTCAACTTTTTAATATCAGGGACTGTCCGCAGCCAACTGCAAGGTGTCAGACATGATTTTTCAGCAGTGGAGTAGTCGCCAAGCCGACACTGAGCTCTTGAAGGGCAAAGGTTATTGGCTTGTAGAGCTGAAAAACTTGTTCCTGCTTGCTACCATACATTTTTTTAATTTATCCTATCAGCATGTGGGGAGATTTTGAGGGCAGGTAGAAGCTATGAAGACAATTACTAGTGTGACTGTAACTTTAGAGGTCACTTTATAGTGCTTCATAGGATTAGAAATCTTGACTTGCATCTGTAGTTGGTAAAAAGGAAAAGGGCAGGCAGCACACAGGACTCTGATCATGCAAGTATCTATCACTTGAGCATAAACTCAACATACCTTAGAGCTATGTGCTTCTTGGCTCAGTTGCAAACAAACTGCTAGTACTTTTAAGATGTGTTGCCTGGATACTACAGCTGCAAAGCTAATGTACAAAACTCGCTCTTCAGAGATCTGAATTGTTCTAGTTTGCTTCTTTCTTTAATTAGGATTTCAAATTGCACAAATTCAAGCATTGGATTAGATAACATACTAGTAAATTCCATTCACTTGGCACTTACTTAGAAGATGCAGAGCAGTATCTTTTGTCATGTTACTGCTGCAGCAGCAGACTTGTAGCCAAAACAGGATACACCTCTTGCTGTTCTTGCAAATGATAAATTAGTAAATGTTGTTTCACCAGTAAGTAAAGAATGATAGCACTGATATTCAAATATGGATAAATTTTAACCTTATTGTCATTAAAATGTAATCCCAGCAATATGTGGGAATTGATAAATGCATGAACATTCTGGGGAGATTCTAATAAGATATATGCGACCTTTCTGGGAAGTAGAAACAGTCTGTACAGTCCAGAGTTTTCACTGAATTTGTCCACTTTATGCATCTTTAACCTATACATGCTGCTTTTCTGTCAGAAGGAAACAAAGCATGCAGAGACAGCATAAAGCAAGCTGCGCTGTACCCTTAGCAATTGTCCTTTTCAGCCACAGAGCCAACACTAGCAGGCACTTTAGTCTTTCCATAAAGTCTGCTAGGTAGACAGAGAAAGGTGGAATAGGTACCTCAATTTCACATGCTGCTTATCGAAAGAACAATCCGACTATTAAATCACTGACGTGTAACTATAGCTCCAAGTTTAAAAAAAAAAAAAAGAAAGAAGGCAGATCTCCAAGTTGAGCCGTTTACTTCCTCTGCTGTGTTCAAAGTGTGCCTTCTGGTTGTGTGATTGGGATGGATTTGTCAGGGGACGCCCCTCGCTGTGCACCCCTCTGTGCCCGGCTGTGGCTGTGTGAGCTGCTGGCAGGACCCCGAGCTTTGGGGCACGCACCTTCCCTGGGGGCAGCTCCTAAAACACACAGACCACCGGCACCGACAGGCTGCGGAGTGCGCT